TGAGTTAGAATCAGCCTGAGCTGCTCAGAGTGACTCGGAGTGGGGGTCCCAACATGGCCCTCAGGTAGGGAGGAGGCCAGCCCCCAAGTTGTGTTGCAGCCCGGGCGCTGTGTGTGGGGCAGGGCCCGCGTGCAGTGCAGGCCCCGGACCGGCCTGGCTGGCCGACCGTGCTTGGGCCTGGCGTGGAGTGAAGACTCCTGATCGGAATCCAGTTTCCTCCTAGGAGGGAGCTGGCAGTGCTGAGCCCAGCCCTCACTCCTGCTCTGTCAGAGGGCACCTCGTGCCACTCTCTAAGGCTTGCTCACTGATGGGCCCTGGTTCCATCCTCCCAGCCTCCCTCTGAGGAGGGTACTTTCCAGCTCTGAGAGGCTGAGTTCCCTGGTGAACGTCACCAGCAGAGCCCACACTGGACAGTGCTCCCATCAGCATCTCAGACCCCTTAGCTCCGCTCGCCCCAGGCCTGGCGTCAGCCTGGCCTATGAACCCACGTCCCAAGCACTAGCAGAGGGCTTCAGCAGGTTCTGGGGGCTGCCTTTTCCCATCACACCGTGGAGGTGGAAGGGATTCTAACTCTGAGCCTGGGATTTCCACAGGGAGCTGGAAAGGCAGCACTTGGCCCTCCTGTTCTGCTGTAGCCGTCTCCTAGGTACCTGGGGTGTGTCAGGCGTGTGCAGGTGAAGTGTCCACGGCGGGAAGACGGCAGGAAAGGGCAGTGGCCCCTGCCCTGGGGGAGGTCGGGGGTGGGAGTCACAGCAGGTGATGTCTGAGCCAGGACTTGAAGGACCAACAGGACTGAGTTGAGGGAAAAGGAGAAAGGACACAGTAGGAGAAAAACCCTAGGGTTTAAAATTGTGGAGAAAACCCACACTGTCAGCACTGGGTTGGAGCTGACCAGGCAGAGGTAGCGGTGGAAGCTCCCCGCAGGCTCGCTGGGAGGTGATGACTGCTGAAGGTGAGCTCAGACTAAACTGCGGAAAGCCTGGAGGTGCCCTGGGCGGAGGCTGGCTGAGGATGGCCTCAGAGTGGGGTGAGGACCACCTTCTCGTTCCCTCGGCCATTTGTGGAGCTGGCTTGAGCCTCTAGGCCTTTCACCGTCTCAGAGGCTGGGGTTCTCAAGGGGAAATGCAGTGTTGTTGCCTGGTGGGCTCTGGATTCGAGTCCTTGCCCCTTGTGTATTGGCTGAGTGTCTGGGCAGGCCCCCTGGGCACAAGTGACCTCATCGGTTTGTCGTGAGGAGGAAGTGACGTGGTAGGTGGGGGTGCCCGGCACAGAGCCCGGCACGTTCAGCACACTCGCGTGACCTCCTGCTTGGTGGGTCGGAGGTCAGGCAAGGCTCTCAGAGACAAAGGGAGAGCAGCGGCAGCCCTTGGGGGGCTCTCGCTGGCAGAGTAGCCTGGCCGTCATCCTGACTGGGGGGGTGGTCTAGAGGGGCACAGGTAGGACTGGGGCCCCCTCCAGTGGGTCTTTGGGGGACATGTCTGCCCAGATGGAGTCTGGTCTGGGAGGGGCGGGGAGACCAGCTTTCTGCCCTGCCTCCTGGGACTCAGAGCCCCTCCCCTGCTCCCTGCTCCCTGCATTCCCCAGACACCTGACTGTGTTGCTTGTCTGCAATGCTGGGGACACGGCTATGACCCAGACTGATCAAAATCTTGTTCTTATTTGGTGAGAGTGGGAGGGGAACAGAGAGACCATAAACAGGATAGATTTAAAAATATATATATGTTAGAAGCTTAGGCAGAGGAGGCAGACAAAGGGGAGCATGGGGGAGAGGGTGGGGAGGCACGGCTGGGAGGGGGCATCAGTGCTGTGGGCAGAAGGCCAGGTGCAGAAGCCGGCAGCTGAGGGGGGCTGGGGCTGTGTGGGCAGGTGGAGGGAAGAGTAGGGGCACGGGGGGCCGAGAGGCCTTTTGGCAGGAGTGATGCCCTGATTTTATTCCCAGTGAGATGCGAAGCTGCTGCAGGGCCGTGAGGACTTTGATCACTTTGATGAGTTACCCTGGCTGCTGCGCTCAGGAGCGCCTGACGGGGGGGCTCAAGGGCAGACAAAGTCCAGTTGGGAGGCCCCGGCCACGCAGGCCAGACCTGCGGGTGGCGTGGACCTAAGGGGCAGCAGTTGAGGTGGGAGAAGCAGCCAGATTCC